GTTACTCCAGAAGTATTCGTTGTTTAGTTTTCTTTCACGATCTTCAAAAACGTCTTCCAATATACATATGTAGGTACAAAAATCTTTTTCGTTCATTTTTATTTCAAATATAGCTTATTCAATAACAAAAATCAAGTAAATCAATGTTGAAAACTTTCTATAAACTTCGTGAAAATTCAGAGTTTCAACAAATGGTCACCAAAAGTTCAAATTTTTAAAATAATTTTTTTTTTTAATTTTAAATTTCGGAGAAACTTTTTCTATAATATTTCAAATTTTTCTTGTGCAATATTTTTCGTTTTGCGAACCCTATGATTTTTTTCAACTAGTTTTTATTATGTAACATTCATTCAAAGGAATCGATTTTCTTCGAAATTGCTACAATATTTCAAAAATCGGGCCCGAAGAATCTCTTCTAAATTGTATTAGTTGTTTTGAACTCAATTTTCCAGTTTCAAACCACTGTGATCCGGCACGATATTAATGTTTCATTTGATTTTGGCTTTTTTGGAAAATAAATTCCATTTAACGACTTAAGCGACCAACTTGGCACAGACCGTAAACTGAGTTGTTTTTTTTTTAAATTTCGGAAAAGCTGTATTATTTACTTACATATGTATGTAGGAATATACATACATATGTACATAAGTATGTAGATCCATGCTATTTGCATCATGTGTAAAGATCAAATTAGCTAAATAATTTGTATTTATCTTTTAGGAGAACGACATGTTTAGTCACACGATAGACACATTCGTTTTAGCCTTTGTGCTTTGCCTACTTTTTGAATCGCCCATACATGCCTTGGAGCGGATATTGTTGCGGAAAGCGGGACGTCCTGAGAAACGCACATCGTCCACGGAAAATCGAAGTCCTAGCACGTCAGAGGAGCAGGTGGCGTAACGAAGTAGTTAAATACTCTAAATACAAAAATAAATGGTTTTCTACTCAATTTTTTTTTTTTTATAAATATTTTATAGTACATAGTTCTAAGTAAGTATGATAGATACTCTTACTATGTATTTTATGACATACATATAATATTTTGTGATGATTACATAGCGTTTAATTTTGATTTTTAGGATTTTATACAAACACACATGAGAAATATTCATATGTACATTTGTACATAAATACTAGGGCTGTGCGATTATTCGATTACTCGACCAAGGTGGTTACTCAGTTTTCCGGTTAATCGATTACTCGATTAATCAAGATTTTGATTACTCAAAAAAATTAATTTTGCTCGTTAAATGAGTTTGCTTTTGAAAATGCTTATTTTCTTTCTTACATTCTGTACATGAAAAAATTATTTTTTGAAAACAGAAACATTGTGCTCAACGTATCAAGGAACTTCAACTGCTTTATATGTAAACAGTACTTTGAAATGTTGATTACTCATTTTACTCATAATGTTGATTAATCATAAAGCAAATTACTCATATATTTTTGTTTTTGGTTAATTAAAATCTTGGTTACTCGAGTAATTGAACTTTTGAGTAATCACAATTTCCAATTAATCGAATAATTGAGTTATTTACTTTATGATTAATTAAAATTTTGAATAATCAATTAATCGCACAGCCCTAATAAATACATATTTATTGATGCATATGGGTACAGGAATAAATTGTAAAAGTATAAATTTTTCATAGTTGTCTAGACAAATAACTATACAACTAGGAAGTAATAAAACTTGCCGCACTATAAGTCATACATAGTCTCTGATCTTGTTGTTACAAAAATTGTCAGGGAGGAGCTGTATGTTATCCAAAAAGAATCGTTGTATAAAAAACACTAGTTTCGCTAGGTTAGATTTCAATGAATGAATTGAATATGTGCTCGTGTATTCTTAATTAAGATTAAAAAAAATATAAAAAATGTAAGTAAATTTTTACGAAAATAAATATATACATAGTATGTATGTAAGAAAGTAAATTTAATAAAATTCGGGTTCGTTTTTGGGTTCGTATTACCAATTGTTTTGACTTATCATCTCATCTTTCAATAATGGGCTGGATCACAAAAAAAAAAAAAAAATCCAAAATAATTACGCTTCGAGTTTTTAAAGAACACCAATCCAACGAATGTTTGTTCAAAAATAGTCCTGCGTCTATACATACGAGTATCTATGTAAGTGTGGATTGCCTTTATCAAATTTTAGTCTACATGCATTCGGTCTTGCGCCCTAACGATGTAATTTTTGTAACGGGCCCCATTTTATTCTGACCACCATTTTGTTTCTTTTTATTGTATCGTATGCCTTATCTCTAATGATTTTTCCATTGTTGTCTTTTGTTTCTACTGAAATAGCATCTATCAACACATTCTCCATTCTGTCTAATCATCGCTTATTCGTCGTCTTCTTCGTGTATAGCTTGGTACATTTTCTTCTTTATCATTTTCTGGTCGTTTTTTAATTTCATCATTCTCAGATATCTCACTTTCTTTATCTGCAGTATTTTCCTCCTCCTCCTCTTCCTCCTCCTCTTCCTCTTCCTCTTCATCCTCGTTCTTATTCTCCTCTTCATCAGCCACTTCAACTTTGTTGTTCTTTTCCAACTCTTCCGTGCTAACTTCAGGGTCGTCATCTCCCACGTCATCTTTAGCTTGATCAATTTGCTCTTCGTTATCCGCTTCAGCTTCAGGTTCAGAGGCCTCAGCGCCCGTGCCGGGTTCGGTTTCCTGTTCATATTCGCGCGCCGTACGTTCTACAAATATACGATTTATTACAACCTTGCGAATATGTTGGGCAGGCACATCGATTAGAAAAGCCAGTGCTAGCCCACTGATCAGAATTACTGCGACCTCATTAAAATTAACCTGTAAAATTTTTATGTTAAACGTCTTTTCGTAATTTAATGAAGGCTCCTGAACTTACCAAGTCACCTAGATGATATTTGTGTGGCTCACTTACACCAGCAGTGTTGTACAATACCACCACGTAAGTCATCAACTGTATGGGGAACGTTATGCGTGAAAGGAAGAGCACAGGTCTCATTGTGGTAAGAAGATGCAGCACGGACTTTTCACCCCTTGGAAACATAAAAATACACCAAGCTACAGATAAGCTGAGTATTAGCGGACACCAAGCGGCATAAGATGCCGCATCGCCAGCTGTATAAACGAAATCGGTGCGCATGCTCGCCGAGGGTGACCAGAAGCACCAGAATAATCCCAATGAGGCGCACAACCAGCCAACGGGTATGAGTTCGCTGGCGATCTCCAGCACACCGGCTTGAGAGCGATGTAGCAGACCAGTGCCGATACCAAAAAGGTAGGGGGTTGCGCGACTTATCGGTGAAGAGACGAGCAAATTGGCCGTGCGGTAGAATTTGCTGACGCTGTGAAATGAAAAAATCAGAGGCATACTATTTGTGAAAAAATTTCATGTCCAGGAGAACTCACTTCATGCCATGGAACAAGGTCGTCGATAGGTATTCGCGTTGTGTGCGAGAGTAACGCGCTGCCACAGACATCGCATGCAGAGCACCATAGATGAAGAATGCAGCATCTGCATCGGTGTAGTAGAGCCACACGATCAACGGTCCCAGTATATAGAGCTGCACTTCAAGAGCCAATTGTATGGACATAGGCGAACACTACAAACATTAGACAAGTGTGTGTGTGTGTTTTTTTATAATACACCAGACCCTATGGAATTGGGGAATACATTTTTACTCACAGTCTCCTCAAATTCAATTGCATTCTGAACGCTAAAAAAGTTTCGCCACAACTGTTGCTCGCACAAACGCGTATTTTGGCCGATCAAATTCGTCCAGAGCGGTCCGGAGCCAAGCAGTGGAAGAATATATGTTTGGAACAACAACACCGCATATAAAGTAGGTAGGTATCTAAGAATACGGCGAAGAGATCGAGGATGCGTTGTTAATTGGACGGACCAAGCTAGGGGTAATCTAAAAGTGCCTGCGTACCTTGTTATCTTTAATGCCATGCGCTTTAACAGCTGAATATGCGATTTTTGCTCCATTTCTTCAGCCAGTTGATAAGCAATCAAGAAGCCGCTTACCATCAAAAGCATATCCATGTAAACCATTGGTGTGCGGAACAGGATGCTCTGTGGTTTTTCCAACGCCCGAACCATAATATCCCGATTGATGATGGGAAGATGTCCAATCATAATGTATTTGAGGCTGACATAGAGGGCGAATGTGGCGCCCAGTTTGAGCACATTGAAGATCGGGAATTGCGTTTCCGAAGAGTCGCTGCCAAGCAATACAGAAACTGTGCGTTGTGGTGAGAAAGTACTGACGGTGTCCCGAAGCATGGCAATGAGAGACTGAAATACTGTATATGTATGGGTAAATACGTAAGGCAATGCTATAAATATATGTATAAAACGTAAACTAACCACTATAGGATGGTTCAGGCTTCCCGTCTCCACTATCAGTTTCCAGTGTTGTTTCCCTAGCTATGCCATCTTCCGCTGCGTTCTCGATTTCCGTTGAATCAGTAATCGTCTCAACTGTACTTTCGTTTCCTTCGCTTTCACCGTTTGAGTCTGTTTTAGTCTTCTTGAATTTACTAAGTACCCAGACTTTTATTTTCGACTGGTATTTATTGAGCAATGAACCAACGCATAGTACCACAAGTCCACCAATACTGAATCTACATATGATGTGTGTATGAAAGAGAAACTTTATTAAGATCTTTAAGGTCCACTTATAAACGTGAAAACTGTTCCATACATTGTCAGGGCGAAATTGCGATCCTTTTTAATGAGTTTCATGAGCTTAACATTTGATCGGGTGTAGCAATCATTGTCATCGACTTCCACATGAAATTCTATACCTGTCGCATTGTAAGCACGCAGATTCGATTCGACCATTTGTTGTACTACCTCACTGCTGCAGAGATTTGGTATGCAAACGCCCCAGTTGGCGATGTCGTAGCGCGGAGCGAAATGACTGGGCTGGTTGGAAACAAATGATCAAAATATTTCAATTAAGTTTTAAAAAGAATTTCCTTTTTGGTTGTTGTTGTTTAAAAAGAACTTCGTGGAGAGCCTTCTTCGACATTTGTTGAATTGTAGGATTTTGAAATGCAATAACGGTTCTAGTCCTAATACAAAGTTTTGTTAAGCTAACTTTACTCTTGAAGAATACTTGGGGGTTACAGACTATATTGTCGAACATAAATACATAAGTAGGTATAAAGACGAAATGAGAAATTTGACGATGGGTCTAAAACAGTGTTCGGTATTGAAATAGAAGATTTGCGCTCAAAAGTAAACCGTTCTTACTTGTTTCTTCACCTTCTCCCTCACTAACAAAAGACGGACAAGCTAGCATTAAACGATGTCTTATGGTCTTATTCACAAGGTCCACACATACAAACATTAAACAAAAAAAACCTATGGATCAAACAGTCTACAGAGAGGACTTGAGCGGCATACACCCAGAGACTGTCACCACCTTTTGAACTTTCATCCCGTGAATACTGTCATCGCAGTTCTATCGCCAGCTAAAGGAAGAGTTTCAGTTGCCTCTTGCGACTCCACAGAAACGTTCTTTTAATGTAGCGGGCGAAAATCTTCTCTCTGACATACCTAGCAGATGTCCAGCTTTAAAGGCACCCCGTTAAACCCAACTGGAAGTTAACCACTGTCGGGGTTTCCCCTAAACTAGGAAGGTCTCCGGAGACGTCCACGAAATACCAAAAACCATTATGCTATTTGATGTCGAGTTTGCAAGAAGAGGAAAACGCTTGGATAATATGGCCTCTAATACTATATGCACCTTACGGACCAAAAGATCAGCCCAGTGCTGTCCCGTGGAATAGTCCATGGCTATATGAAAATTTATCGAAGATCTTAGATAACCCGCTGTGGCTGAGTGGCTAGAGGTGCATACTACTCCGTAGTACCAGGATTAGATCGCTAGTAGGCGCAACATCTAAATTAGAAAACGTTTTTCTAACAGCGGTCGCCTCAGCAGGCCTTGGAAAACCTTTTCATAAAAACCATTTGCTGTTCGGAGGTGGCGTAAAACTTAGGTTAAAGGTTAGTGTAGTTTTTCGATATTATATAATTTCCTCAAATGTTAAATACCACCACTCATACAGTTGTGTGTATATAAAATATTTGCTCACATTTCCAAAATGACTTCTCCAGAGTGCGCGCCCCTGCGCATAATGTAAAGGTGCCCTCAGCTCCTTTGTTGAAGTTTGCATTTCAATGTGTGCCAGACAATATTTCCCGCGAATGCGAACCGGAATTTCCGGTGTTACCTTCACCCTAGCTTTCACCTGCATGCATTGATCGAAGTCTCCGAATTGGTTGATATTGCCACGCAACAAACCTGCACTAATTTTTCCCGTGGCGTCCAACACTAGAAATTTAAGAATAAATAATTTAAGATCTAAATAAATGGCATAAATGTGTTTGGGTTCACGCACTCTGTAGCGTCCAAAACTTATTGCCACGCAGCTGTCGATGAAATATCTGCAATTGTTGTCTGCATTCGGTGTTGGTAACATGGTCTGGATTCACCACAAAGCTAGGTAGTGTATGTAATATGCTTTCGAAATTTTCCTGAGACATTGTGGTGGTCGCCTCATCTGAATTGCCGTTCTGCGGGGAAGCGGGTTCTTTAGTTTGACGGCGTATTGGCTTTGCCGTCTTGCTAATGGGAAAGAAACTGTTGAATGGCCAACGATTGAGGTAGGAGTGCCAAGACTCAGTATCATCCGGTTCAATGGCTTCCTGTCGCTCAGTGCGTTCATTTCGCTCACTCAACCATTTCAACCAGTCAATAATGCCGTTTGATGGTACTTTCTTCTCAGCAGACCTATCTTCTTCACTCGTCGACCTCGGCTGCGGATCGGCATCGCCTCGGTCACCACTTCCACCACCAAAGAGATTTCCAAATAATGAGCCAAAGAACGTTTTCGACTCTTCGCTTTGGTTGCTTTCATCGTCTGCTATTTTGTTCTGTTTCTTAGTAGTTGAACGTTTTTTCTCATTCATCGGCGTGGAGGTGGTGGTAGCGCGTCGCTCTTTGTGAGCCACGCGTGCACGTTTGAACGGCAGCTCTTCCGACTCTGCCGCTTCTTCGATAGCGTCCATTTGTCGGCTAGCGTCATCGTCTGGTTTTCTGTCACCGTTGTGAACATCATCGTTTTTGTCATCTCCATCATTTTCGCTGTCGTCGTCGTCGTCGTCATTTTTCTCCTCCTCATCGCCAATGTATACGCGTTCTATTTTATGAAATTTGAATTTCTTCTCGAATGGGCGCTTTGTTGCTATTGGTTTGATGGCATCGGCGACGTGCCCAACACCAACACCACCCTTAGCCGCCCCATTGAATTGTAAAAACTCATAGGTGGTATGCGGGAAGACGAAGAATACCAAAAGAGCACAAAGCAATAGCTTTTTTAAATTGAACATTGCTGTGTTGAAAGGTGGCCCTACTGGACTACGAGCAATATCTCGGCGGCGATCAGTCATATTAGTTTAATATGTATCACTTAATGGTACATTTAACTCAAAACATTTGCCAAATTTGCTGCGCTTATCATTTATATGTATCTAGGTAGGTATGTACTTGCAAGTGTAAATTTAAATGAATGCATGTGGTACACATGAGTATGTATGCATGTATGTGCGTAAGTGTAGAATAAAATTCCAAAGGTTCGTTGCGCTCCAATTATGTACTGAAATCACCAACTTAAAAGTTCGTAAAAAGCACTGTTGCGATTTCAAATCAAAATCCTTGTACTTTGCCACTTAAAATTAGCCAAAAACCGTTTTTATTACAGCCCAGGAACAAAGGCAGTTTATTTATGTTATTTCATTTGCTGACAAAATTTTCTAAAAATATGCACAAACACTGTCAGTTTATATAGTAAAGGCCTCGACGTCGGTATCGGCGCGCCCACTTTTGCTGATGACTACGAAGCGTTCGATTCGAAATCTCAAAAGAGACTGAACACCACCACAGCACTCAGCGTGAAAAACGCATTTTTGAAATTTACTTATATGTATGTTTAACTCGCTGGTTTTTGGGCTTCAGAGCGAACGCCTAATTTATTTATGCGCTAATAATTTGTTTACAATTGGGCTGAGCAGAAGGTGTACACGTGTACCGCCACAAAAGAGAACATTTCTTATTTATTTTCGTAGATAAAGAGAAATGAATTTAAGAGGGAAAGCTCTTTGCTTCCTGTTGCTTTTTTATAACGAATTTTCTTTATGCACAGGAAGGAAGTAGGAAGCTGATATGTATGTAGTGTTGCTGCTGCCTTAAACAAAATCGAAAGACTAATACGACGAACTTGATGCCACTAAAAGCTAATAACGTTAATTTTTTTCATTAGAAATTCTACTACAGAATTTATTAGGAAGATTCTGCTAAACGAGACAACGAGGCTTAGGAAATCTGATGTAAAAATTTGCTTCCTACATTTAAGGACCACTTTAATGTACATATGTATCTATTCCCGTCAATTAAAGTAGCGAATTAAAATAATGAATTTAGAAGGTTTGACTTTGAATTAAAAAATATTAAGTTTCCCTTTATATTTTTATGAGGTTTCTATTAAGATGACATCTTGAACTACACTTATGGCTAGTAAATGGTTAAAATATTATTTTGGAACCCTATGAAATATCGCTTTAAAGGGAAAATGACCTAACATCACTTAGGTTACTTTATATGACGGGCACACATACATACATATGCATATTGTTTTGTAGAATAAATTAAAGTCTACCGCATTTTACTCGAATCTAGCGCATCTTTTTCTCAATTCTACCGCATATAAAATAGATTAAGTTTGCACACTGGTGGTCGTCAATCATCATGTGTTGAGTTTCACATCGACAAGTCCAAGCCGCTAAGATTTAAGCAGGGTGTACATCAACGCGGCGTACTCTCCTCGACACTGGCTTGTGAGCTCCGCTGATGATTGTACGATCATGGCAGCGGGCGAAATATCCACAGCCTATGCGGGAAAATCAGTGACTACCTCACCGATATTTTCAGTTTCTTCACGGCCAGAAACCTCGACATCTATGCACTAAAATCCACTCCCACACTTTTCATTCCTGCTGACGAGTCACAAATTTTAACGTCAAGATGGGTTTCCACTCACCGTGCCGCATAGTGTTTGCATTATATGGAGGCTGGTGGAAATGAAAACTAAGTCATAAATACAAAATTTGACAGCATTTACTCACCCCGCTCTCTTACTAGGAAATGTATGTGCATTAAAGTGGTCCAAAAATGTATGTAAAAAAAATAAGGTCGGATTTTTAATGCCGGCACCCCCTAGGATTGTTCTATATCGAAAAAAGCTCTCAAAGTTTTCCATGTATTTTATATGGGGGAAAAACAATTTTTCGTAGAAATAGTGTAGAATTCTTGAAAATCAACAGTTTTCGATCGGAAAACTTTTCTTATCTTCAGGAGATTCCCAGTAATAATACGCAATTGTCTCTTTAACCATTTTTTCATAGTAACTATATTTTATAGGGCCTCCAAAACCCCTAGAAAATGCAATGGAAAAATCTTTAATCATAAAAAATGGTTAAATAAACAATTGGATATTAATACTGGAAGTCTCCTGAAGAGAACCACAGTTTTCCGATTGAAAAATATTGATTTTTAAGAGTTTTATACCATTTCTACGAAAAATGGTTTTTTCACCATATAAAATACATGGAAAACTTTGAGCGCTTTGAGCACCCCCTAAATATTTTTTGATTTAAAAATAAAAAAATAGGGGTATCTTTTTTTCGATATAGAACAATCCTAGGGGGTGCCGGAATTAAAATTCCAACTTAATTTTTTTGGACCACTCTAATGTGCATATGTATATGCCTAAAGATTATGAGCAAAAAAATGTGAGTACCGGTTCTTCAGGTTTTGAAATTAGACGCCTGTTTTAGAGAATTTCATGTAGTTTCACGAACATATAATTGGATCCTTTCGCGCGACTTCTGCGTATATATGAATATACATATCTAGTTTTTGATTTCTGATTTTTCGCTTCTCAGCTTCTTTTGCGAAATATATCGAGCAATGGAAAAATCACCCGAAAAAATTGGAGAGCTGAAAATATTTACACTTATGTGAGTAATTCTTAAGTATATCCTTTGTATTATATTTCTAAAAGTGCACTCAGAAAAAAAATTCATTGATTCTAGGAAAAAAGTATATTATTCTAAGGAAATATTACCTTGAAATGGCTCCAATGACATGGCTGCCTTAATTTGAGTAAACGATTTGACTCAGTTTAAGGAAAACACAATTCCTTAGTTTTTAGGAAAAATTTACTTGCCATTTCATCCCTCGTGAAAGGAATAGGTGGCAATGGCGACAACAAGTCTGGGTGCTAGCAAGATGCAGTTCGAGTCCCAGAGCAGGAATTATTTTTTTATTTTTTTTATTGTAAAATTTTTAAATTGTATTTAAAAAAAAAATTATCTAATTTATTTTTTATGTTATTTGAGTATATATAGGTTTTTCCGTATATGAAATTAATTTTACAATTTGTAATTTATATTTAAATTGAAATAATTGACTTACCTTATTCTAACCACCTCTAACCGGATTCGAACCTGCGATCTCAGAATCTAAAGCAGTAGTCTCAACCGACGCCACAGCCGACATTTGACAGGAAAGCAATTACTTTGTCTTAACAGCACTGAAAAAATTCAAAATTATTTAAGAGGTTATGACTTATATTGATGAAATTATTACTTGAGTAAATTTACTTCCTCAAATTAATGATGCCCTATTTTTAAATTAAGAAAAAATTTCTGAAATTGAATAAATTTTTCGTAATATTAAGGAAAAAACAGTAACTCGAAAATGAGGATTCTGTTTTCTTGATTTAAGGAAATGCTTTTTTCTGAGTGTACCCATACTGTAAAATTTCATTTATTTTGTCCAATTTAATTGACTTCGAAAATATTTTTACTGTAAGCCTTCAAAAAACTTACAACAACAACAAACTCTAGTTTGACAGCCCACATCGCAATATTTCCTTTATTTTATCAATTTAACTGAGTTAAAAATTTTAAATAGGTGGCAACCCTCCAAATTTTTGTAATATAAATCCTGGTGTCTTCAATGGTTATCTTTCTAAAACTTCTTTAATCTAATACCCACATTGCTATATTTTATTAATTTTATCAATTTAATTAAGTTTAAAATTTTCAGCAGGCGGCAACCCTCCAAATTTCTGTACCATAAATCCTGGTATTATACCGAACAATAAAAAAAAAAAATATTCAAATCGGTTCTTAAATATAGGAAGCAAATTTTTGCATAACATTTCCTAAGCCTCAACCCCTACGTCGATGCTACTATGGTCGAAGATATTATATATAAATTTTGCTCCCGATTGAAGTCGTGTTAAGGCGTGTCGCACAGGGGTCAAAGTTCAGACTAACCTATGAAGACGTCTTAACCGACTCCAATCAGTACCAAAATTTATAAATGATATCTTCGACTTTAGTAGTATCGATTTTGCGCATTAAATGAAAAAAAATGTATTTTTAAATTTTTGATATCTTCGACTGCGGTAGTATCGGTTTTTGAGTATTACAATTAAAAAACATTAAATTTAATTTTTTGAGTCTCTATAGAGGAATCTGTACTCATCCCCCTGTGCCTTACCCATCCTCCAATCGGGATCCAAATTTATATGTGACCGTGGTATTACGAAATGAGGGGGTGAGACTGAAAAAAAATCGTTAATTTGATGTTAAGGACCACCCTTATATACATAGATATAGATAGAATATGTCCAATGTGTGGTTTCCATTTTAAACTTTGATTACAAGAAAAATTCCACATTTTACATTCGTGAATGAACTTTAAGTTTCTCAATTACTTTTACAATTCCTTTGAGTAATTGAAAAAAAAACTAAAGTACTCTTGCAATTCCAGGTAATGGAATTGGAAGAAAATATATTACATTTTCAATTTCGTTCAAAGGAATTGGGGGGAAAAAATTACATTACTAGCACGTAATTTATTCCGACATTTACATTTGAAACTACCTCTAAGGAATTGAAAAAGTAATCAATTCCTTTGCTGTGGACTGAAGGAATTGATTCCTAATTACAATTCCTTGTAATTTGTAATTAGCAGCAATTTAATTCCTAAAGAAATCATTATGACCCAGCTCTGCATATATCTACATATATCGCTCATTTCCTTCAATAGTGTCATAACCCAAAAAAAAAAAAACTCGAAAAAACGGCTTTAAAGTTTTGAAATTACATATCGTTAGTCTGGTATGAAAAGGGCGTATTGCACATTGTCGCTGAAATGCGAAAAAAACACAACTAACTAATTTTTTATTGCATAATCATTCAAAAAGTGAAATTCGGATTTTTAGTTAGTTATGGCTTTTTGTATTTTAGAGATGAATGGGTTACTCCCTTTCCCTACTATACTAACGATATACTCCCATAGTAAAAATGAATGCATCTTTTGTTCTAATGTGCTACTGGTAATCGAAATTTTTTCACAACATAGAATAAGGAGCGGAAATTTTGCGTACTTAACTCAATATTTGTAATTTTTCGATTGCGACACTATTGAAGGAAATACGCGATATGTATATATTCAGTGTTTGCTGAGGCGACCGATTATTCTACTTTTTTTTTTAAAGCTGGCCCGAAAAATGGAAAGTTGGAAATAAACACCCTGACTCCCGATTTTCGATTAAAAAAACTTAGACCGGTAATTTTTGCAATATTATCTAACATTACCTTTAATTTAGAAGAGAGGAAAAGGAAACAAATTAGTAGCATTTTTAATGGAGAATAAAAGAAATTAGATATCAACATTTGAATGGTTATGAACTTTGACCTTGAAAATTTAAAATTAAAGATTTCATAATTTGTATTGATATTTTAAAACTCTACCCGGGATTTGAAATATTCAAATATTTTGTGTATCAATGGCTAGCCATGCTTTGCAACACCCGTTTTCTGATGAACACTCTTCATCCTCAACTCAACATAGTCCATAGCAATCAATGCTGGGCACTTTATGATTACGAATTATTATAACTAAAAATTGAGTTAAAGTCGAAGTATTAATATAAATCAAAATCAAACTTTATTGAAAGTACTGCGACCACGAGTCTGTGTAGAATATTACAACTCCAAACAAAGTCGCGAATCAATAACTTAAAACCATTTTGGTATATAAAAATTAATATTTGCTCTTAGCAAAACTAATTTTTCGATTACTGTAATCGTTATCACGAAATGCACGATTGCGAATACTTTAATTGTAATCCTAAAAGTTAACGATTCGTCTACTGTTATAGCAATCCTTTTTTTTTTCATGAATACTATTACTGTAATTGTAATCTTAAATAATCAAAATATAACCCTTATCATAAAGTGCCCAGCTCCGATCCATAGCCTGCAAGCCTGTTAGCTCAGCGAACTATGGGCAACGTGAAAGCGGTACTCTGCGGCCATTCCACAACCCGCTAGAAATCTGCAAATTTACTTTTACATTCTCTGCTACTGGATATACAGCCAGCAAATACATATCGTGTAAGAACACCTTAAGCAAAAATCTGATGATCTATCTATCTAATGATCGGAGCGAAACCAAATTAGTTCGAGGTAAAAAAATAATTATCGAAATCGGTTAACGTCGTCTAAAGTTATGCGGTAACATACATAAAAAAATATTCCGACAAATTAATAACTTCCTCTTTTTTTTGAGAAGTGAGAAGCCGGTTATTAATAAAAATTAAAATTCCAATGTTTGCTTCATTCCAAATAAAAAAAATAAATAAATTTATTAAAATTCATTACAAAAAAATTTCTGGACAAAGCACAGAATGATCTAACCGAAAAATCAAACGGAACCTTAAATTTAAAGTATTAATAAAGTAAGTAAATTTTAAATTTAAACGCTGCTTAACACATAAAAACTTTTTCATTCGTGAAATCTTAAAAGAGTCAATCAATGATAAACCAAACAGATACGATCAAAAAATCAGAAAACCAACAGATTCAAAAACACCAGAATCGCTTAGGTAAATAACTAAATACATTGAATACAACTTAAAACAAATGCATACGAAATCCAATAATGAAAAAAGAGGGGTGCTAAATAATAATAAACATTAAACATTAAAAAAATAAGATTAAAACTAAAAACAGCTAATTTTCGCCCAGCGATCCTCCGTGGATCGGGGTTTTAATGCTCGAGCTTACATAAGTTGCAGGCATATATGTGCCATTTGTCATTAAGCTGTGCTGTTGCTGACTTTGTGTGATATGTTGCTGAGCATGCGTTATTCGCTCTTGTTTGGGATGCTTCAGTGATTTGGTATAAGAGCAGCCAGTGATCCATAAAGGTGGATATTGGAAACGTTGTTCCGGATGAAAATATTGTACATTGCCGAACTGAACATGGTTGAGCACGTGATGCACCAAAAAGCGTGATTGGGTGACGGCAATGGGTAACAATTTTAGCGAAACGAAACGCAACCCTTCGTAACCGCTATCAAACATGGATGCAGGATAAGCGAGGTATGGACGGGTTTGTAATGCGGAATTGGTACCGGTTGTAACGTAGCACAAAGCAAGTACTATTTGGGTATCATTTAGATTGTGATTTAGTGGCGCCTTATTGCGATACTTTGGCATAACTGTGCCGAAAACCCGGTGGCCGGAAACCACTAAATTTTGTAAATACGTGGCCGTAGTATTCACTAGAAAACTTTCGTGATAAGCTTGAAGTAGATCATCTTCATTAACAGCGGCCAAAGTTGCCACGGCCCAGCTCAGATCGATCAGCTCATTTAAATCGAAACATAGATATTTTGGCACCTGAAAAGAGGCGATGAAACCAACGGATTGTGCATCATGTGTAACCATTCCGACTGGAATTTCAAATCAATATTATTATTGTTGAGAGCAGAAGGGCATATGCTACTTACGAAGATGTGCGTTGTCTTTCTCAACGAAGAACACGTAGTTATAGTCAGGAAAAGTACCTATGGTCTCCAAAAGAACACATACTACTTCACAAATACGCGAGTGGATGTCGACTAGTTCATGAGTCTGCAATGCACAGAAAATAGCTCGCGCCGTGCTATTGGCATTGCGCAGCATCACCGCGCCATACTGCAATCCCTCGTGCTCGTAGTACGTACCGAAGATTATTACTGGAATTTGCCAGGAGTTCGCAATGCATTTAAGACGAAGCATTGCATCGAAGTCCGTCCTGCACATGCGATGCAATGATTGCCTTTGAGAGACACATTTTTAATATTAAAAACTAATACATACATATCTTTTTTATCTATTATTCACTTACTTCTCCGATGGCTTAGCCCATTCAAGGCCAAGCCGTTGGCCACGCAACATGGTTCCTTGCAACTGATCCAAACATTTCTCGGCCGCCTCGCGAGTAGTAAAATCAAAGAATGCTATTGTTCTAACTTTTGTAATTTTACGTATCTCCTGCCGCGGTACGCAGTTTACAAGCAAGTCGATGATATCACGATTGTTTACGCAAAGATCCACATTGCGAACGAATAGTGTTTTATTCTGAAAAAAAAAATTAATATAGTTTATAGCAAATAAATTTGTAAATCTTTGTAGCTTTACGCATTTTGACATGTCAGTGTCACGTTCTGTGTTGGCCCAAACAACTTTTAAATCACGATCCCACATCCGTATCACTCCCGGCGTTGTACTCTTCTTTGCTTCTAATGCATCCAAGTGAGAAGGAAAGTGTATGAAGACATGACCACGGTTCCTTTGGTCGTTGGATGCTGCAAGCATAACTTGGTGCGATCCATTGAATCCTTCAAAGTTGCGTTGTCATACCCATCATTCTCGCGACATTGGCCAAAACTCCTTTGAGATAAACCGGGCCCCCGAGAATATACACGTTCCATAGTGGGAAAAACTGCACGCAACTTTTCCTCAACCTCGCTTTCATCTAAATGTTTTGGTATGTTGCTAACGAATAAGCAACATTTTTCATATGAATGTAGAATTTCCAGCTTGCGTTTAGGAGCTATATAAAAATGGCTCAGCACTTCCATTGCGCAAGCTGCTTCTTCCTCAGTGGTATACTTGACGTATGCGTAACCTCGATTTGCCTACAAAGTGTTTAGTGATTTTATTCCATACACTTGCTCCGTATTTGTAATATTTACCTGATTGAAATCCATTGGCAAGCGTATTTCATATATGCGTCCGAATCGTAAAAATGGCTGGATTAACTTTTGTTCATTTAGATCTCGGGGAATACGACGCACAAACAGTTCACATGCACTTGAGGGCGGTGGACCGTGCCAACCCTCTGGAGGGCCAAGCACTTTACGGCCATTCATCTGCATGAGTGTAAATTGCTGCATTTGCTGGCAGTTGCTGGAGCGTTGTAGCTGTGGACTAGATACCGAAGACTGTGGTGGAGATGGTGTAAAATTGCTTCCGCTTGCACCATCCGAAGAAATCGGCGATGACAAAGGGTAAGCGAAATGTAAAGGAGTGCACATTGTGGCACACATGTTCTGGTTAACACTGTTGCCTGAGGTGTACTCCATTATATAATCCAAGGTTTGGAATTGCTGTTGCACTTTTCTTAACCTTTTCGCAAACAAAGCGCCGAAACTGAATTCTAGCTGACGGCTTTTCCGTTGATACAATGCTGCCTAGTCAGTGCGTAATTTGAATTTACCTAAAAATTTCCCGTTAACGTACGGCATTGCCAGCCAGAAGTCGATGAATCAAATACAGCGTGGTTTGCGTAACGTAACGACGTGAGCCAAGGCGTATTCACAAAGGGTGGGTTTATCGGAGCAGCTGATTTCAAGGCAAATTGTGCTCCTTGTCAAAAATATGGTTTTGTTGTATTTTTTGTGTGTTCTGATTGTCATCGTGAGTATAATTTGTTAGTGTTGTTGCAAGTAATGATGTGAGCAATTTCAATATTAAAATATTTAATGCTTTTTAACTAATTCTTATGTATGACACGAAGTATATTGATAAAAACTCAATTCAAGCCGAATTTTTACAAGGCGAATTTATACAAGGTGGTAGCGGTATAGCAAATACAACAATCTTATGTATTTTGTATTGCGGGTGTTATGTCAAATCTCAATTCGCCCCAAAGTTTGCATGTATTCTTTTTGCTTTTGATGGGTGTGTTGTCAAATAAATAAAAGCAAAAACAAAATACATGTAAGGCGAAGAACCCAGCTGATCTAACAGCACCACCACCGCCAACGGTTTATTCGAATTCAATTCAACTTATGCCGGGCTTACGTATCTCGTTACGATTATTTGGAGTATTCATCGTAGCACTTTGACAACTCTGTTTTGCGATCGACACAGGAAAATCAAAGTGCGTCATTTTATCAGGAATCCCGAATTTCCGTTGAAATGTAGTTAATGGGTCAAATTAAAAATCTGTTGTTTGTGCTTTTGCTGGTTTTGGTGACATAATTTTGATTTCGAAATACTTGCAAATGGAAATGTCGGACTCTTCGCCATTATCAAGGTCTGGAACTTCGTCTGCTTGCTGGTCGCCAGGATCTTCCTGGTCTCCATCTACGTCCTTGGCATCGTGCTCGCCCATGCAGAATGTTAACCCTGCAGAAGAACTTCTTGAAAAGGCGTCCGCTCTTCCAGCTATTTTGGAGAATGGACGCAAAGTATTTGGGCCGCCATTAGATTATGCTGGTCTACGTCCTTCCTACATATGTGAGCTGTATGTTGCGAATTTGCCCAAGTCACTAGATGAAGTGCACTTTCTAGCCTGGCTGTATCGTTGCGGGGAAGTATATGAAATGCGATTGATGATGGAGTCGTTCAGTTTGTCGCGTGGCTATGCATTTGTACGCTATACCCAGGAGATTGAAGCCCTGGCCGCATACGAATTATTGAAATTTGTATTCGTTGACGGTGAACGACTGAGCGTCTACCGCTCACAAGGTAAAAATCGTCTTTATGTGAGTAACATTCCTAAGCAGCTGCCATTGTCATCCTTGGAAGCTGGCTTCAAGAACGCTTTTCACGACATGGAACGCTGCACGGCACATGCGTCATCAGCCACAGATTCAATAAGGGGCGATCTGAATCGTGGATTTGCTTTTATCGAATTTTACGATCATGAAACAGCGTTACAGGCGAAAAAACGTACAACGCCAGGACGCATGCGCATGTGGGGTAATGATTTGAAGGTTCAGTGGGCGAAGCCCAAGTCACTTCAGTTTAATAGCAGCTCTAATGAAATTACGGTACGTATTAGTAGCGTAAACAAAATAATATGTCACTATTTCATGTCTCGATTCGGTGCAAACTTTAGAAACCGCGTTCCTTGGGACACCGAGCGAGGTAAGTTTTTCGTTCATAAATTTTAGTAAGAGCAATTAAATTTGCTCTTTTTTACTTTTATTATTTAATAGTTTACCGAATGACTACAATGCCAAATTGCGCCTGTACTGCTTGGCTAATAATTGGTGCATACCGGTGGTGGTTTATGGTCGCTGCTTTCGTGAAAGAGGCATTCAGTATGGGGGCGTAAGTACAAAATAAAATATGAAATACGTACATAATTAATTTCTGCTTTCGCTTGGCATAATAGCTTAAGTGTGGAGGCTGGCTTGAATATAATCCGTTTATTCTTTAAACCATAAGGGATTTTCGGTTAGATTTCACGTGATTTGCCAAGAGTTCTTCAATGGCTCGGCGTAAAGTGTATCATTCGCATTCGTAAGCTATCAATGGAACATTATGCTAAAGCCCGGCTTCCGTCTTAAGCTACTATGCCATATGGTCCCATATTTGTATGTTTAAGATAATATCGCATTTGATTCAATAATAAACAAGTTATTACTAGCTTACCCGAGCGAATTATTCGAATCCAATACTTTAGAATGAAGTTGAAATAAATTAACTCGGGGAATTTGCTCAGCAGTTTGCATCAGTCACTTTAGATGTGTAATTTTATCTGAAATTTTTGAAAACTACAATAAAGTTTTGTTTAAATTTGCGCATATTAAGATAGGTAACCAGTTTCCGCTCTTAATGAATGCAAGCTTACATTCCGTATTAATTAAATTAACCACTGCTGGTTTATTCTGATTACATATATGTGTGGCGTAGAACAAATTTCAAATTTGTTTGTTCAATTCTAAACACGTAATGTTCACAATTTCACAGTTTACACATAAAATGTTTAAAATTTGCTCTAAAAAATGTTTGTTTTACATATAAATATCGTTACATCAACGAAATCTTGAAAAAGCAGTTGCCCATGCGAAAAACAGGTTCTGGAACAAGGACCTAGCCAGGATCTGATGTAAGGGGGGCGGGGGGGCAAAACGAAATATACTTGGTCATTTTTTTTACATATTTTTTATTTAATAATTTTTAAGCTAATAACGATTTCCAGCAAACTGTCGATTATTTCCTCTTGAATCATCTCGCGGTTTTCGGTAACGAGTTTTGTATGGACGCTCATGAGGCATAGTCCAATAGTCCAGAAAGCCTTTCTTCTCCTGTTGTGCTTCTGAGCCAGGTTTTTACTCTACGAAGTGTACTAAACGATCGCTTCAGAGTCGCTGTTGTGCATGGAAAATTGCTCAAAATGGAAATACCCATATTTATCGCTGTTATATATTAGTTTTCTTCTTTAAATAGGTCTACAACTTCAACACCCTTCAAATCTTCTTCGGACAACTTCTTTTTCTTCCATAAATTGTACCAAAGAATAAGTTCACTTCCCATACCTATGTAGATCATTGATTGTTGAAAATGCTTCGAGTTATTTTGTACCTTTTCACTGGAACAGGTAATCGAATACAATGGGTGCAATCTAGACAGCGAAAAATCTGGAGTATTAGATCGTCGCCAGTACTCATTTTCATTGAAAGATGGGAGTTACTTCGGTTTTTTTTTTTTACCTGCCAAACGTAGTAGAGAAATTTCTACTCCTAGATCGGCTGTCATCATACGAGATTTTTTAATTAACTCCATAGTGACTCCTGCAGACGACAGATAACACTTGATGGAAGTCTCTACCAAACAGAACGATTTTGCCTACAAAAGGGGAAACTATTATTCATTATGTCTCCCAAAAGTCGATCTAGTACTACGCTTAGTGCTTCTTTGGGAACCATCGAAATCTCATCCCAAATAGTGACGTCCGAGTCACGGAGAAGTTTTGCATATTACGTGAACTTCTCTCCTTCTAAATGAAAAATTATAAAGGAGATATCGTTTGGTAACAGGAAAATAACTTTGAAAAAAATATATAAAGATGCATGTATACATATGTAGATTAATATTTTAGTTATAGTAGGAAACCTTCTTCAAAATTATTAATTCCGGTTTACAGTACATTTAAATGCCTTTCATTTGCTGAACGCAATGCAGACTTTTAGTCAATATCTATATATTTTGTCACTATTTTCACATCAAGCAGTGAAGTCTTTCATCAAAATGCTGTTTAAATCATTCAATTTGTTGGAGTACTATGGCTACGGTGACCATATTTTTGGGAGCCGAATACGGGACAAAAATAATTTTGCAAATTTTTTCCACAAAAGCTAACAGATCTTGAAACGTTTTTAAATGATTCTAGATGTATTAGCCTTGAAACAGCATCCTTGTAGTAACATCACACATTTGTAAGATACTTTCTCGAGATTTTTGTCCCACAAAATTTGTTAAAAAAATTCGTTACATTTTAGTATATTAAAGAACAAGTTTGAAGTAGCTAGGACTAACCGTTAATTTTTGGCAATTTTTTATTTTTTTGTTGGTGCTATGTATGTATGTATAAAATTAAAGTTTCATAAAACTAGTAACAGTTAACAAGTTTTTTTTTTACGGTTCCCCCTTTGAGACCGAATATGGTCCAATTCCTGTAGAATTAAATTTCCGCAAAATTTTTTCACTGTAGAATCTCTGATTATACAAATAATTAATACCTACTTTATTTACTCAGCTCTCAGAGGGAGACCTTGGTGAATTGTAGTTGTTGTTGTAGAGCAGACGTGGGCAGCTCCGGCAGAGCATTTTTGTAGTGTGCGTGCAATTGATGTCACTGTGTGCGTGCGAACAAGTCGTGCAGTTGATGATGAAGGCTTCGCTGTCTTCCCAAGTAGATCGTGTATGTATACGCGAATACGCCGCGCAGTCGCCCGCCGGGCAGACGCGGCACAGCTATGTTGTAGAGGCACTACAAAGCCCACCGCAATCGGCAAGTCCATCAATCGTCGTCAGGCACAACTAACGGTAGTTTCGACTAACGTACTGTTTCGACGGGGTCGGACCAAAGGGAAAAGTGTGTTGGCTGAGTGGGCTTAAGTTGGCTGGTGAAAAGGTAGTTGGTGTTGTAAAGGGTACCTTCACAAGTCGGATTTGTGTATTGCATCAGACGGCCGCAACATTAGATCAGAGTGTACTCATATTTGCCTGTAGTGCTAAGCTCTAACATTTCTGTGATTGACTAAAATTTACAAGTCTGCTCTAAATTTAAAGCTTATTTTAAAGTTGAATACACACATATATACATAGATGATTACGATATCCTTTGTACCAATGTTTCATTTAATTCGTTTAGATCCTTTTGAAAGACTCAACAAGCGGGGAGCTCAGTTGCATGGTAATGGAGTTGGCAGTAGATCATGAGATTCAAGATGTGCACATTGCAATGTGCGAAATTGCAACGCTATTGATTGAAGAAAATTTTGGCTTTCCTAAATACCACTATATTGTTCGCTTGCTGAACGGATTTCGAGCCGAAATTTGTAGGGATAACAATACCATAAAAAAAAATACTCTAGCAAAAACAATATATATTTTTTTTCAGTGTATAGTTGCTGCAACAACTTGGATATTTTGGCTGAA